TTCAGCATGTGTGTTCTCAAAAGAGAGAACCAATGAAAACCTAATGAAGCCTTGTAAAAATATGACTTTTTAGATGTGTGCCAATAGATTTGAGAAAATTACTAAATTTGGTGTCTAAGAAGCAGCTATTTTCCTCTTTCTGTGTATGCCCTTTCTGTGAACCCAGTGAATATAAAGATGAAATGTAAAAGAGATAATGATCCACAGGCAGAGCTGAGGATGTTCTATATTCTTGGTGGAGTTTGAAAATATCTAGGGAATTTGATTTACTTTTTAAGAACAAAGAGGCTATGAGACTGAGCCATACTCCTTTACATCCTTGGTTCTAAGAGGGAAGTGAATATATGTGAGAGCTCAAAGGAGAAACAACTTTTTGCAGGGCTGCTGCAGACTTTGCTGGTAAAGAGCATGTGAGTTGCATGCCTTTGTCAAGCTTTGGAAAAAAATTCTAATAGCACACTCTAATGTGAGAATCATGTAGGACTTGGATGAACTAAGAACAGTCTGAGTTACCTCCGTTTTCTTAAGGGAATGCAAGGCAGATCTGCATTATCTTGATTCAAATTTTAATAAATCAAAGTGTATGTTTTCCCTTGTTTATGAATATTAAAAAAATTAAAAGATGGAATGCCTGACAGTCTATGAACATCTCACACTTATTTTTGTAAACTCCAATTTAGGAAAATTTAAAAATTTTTTACAGGCTTCCTGGCATTTCACCAGGTTGCTTCCAGCAACCAGGTTGTTTTGCTTCTGAAAAAGCACAAGTCTCTTCTGACTCTACATCTGTACCTGGTGGAAAACTCAGCAGCATGAGATGAAAGCCAGATTTAAATGTGGCTTTGGAGAGCAGAGAAGAGAATTATAGATTTCATAAGTATAGCCCCTATTTTTTGTTCTTTGATAGGTCATTAAGGAAGGAAAACTTAAAAGTGATTTATGGCTAATAAATCCTAAATTGGTTAGTGAAACTGTGTTTAAGTTTAGATGTTTGGGAAGAACATATTTTTCTCCAAATTTCTTCAGTCTACCTCAAATGTACAAATAGTAAATGTATATAGTATTTTCCAATTCAGTTATTGGAAATGCAGTATTTTAAGCTACCTTATTCTAATATTTTAGGCATACATTAGAGATGTCAGACCCTGTGTTCTTTAATGTGGCATAGAAAGAGCTTAGGGTAATTCTAATCCTAAACTGTGCATCCAGAGTTTGGCTTGAAGGCATATTATCTTTGAAAACACAAGTGCTCTTTTGAGTTCAATGGAATCTTTTCTAATTCTCAGTAACATAATCCCTTTGGATGTTTATTCTCAGTTCAAACTGTTGGAATCAACATTGTCAACTTTTACCCTGACAACTTGCTTACTTTCTACTAAACAAACTTACCCTAGAGAAGAGCCTCTTTCCTGCTCTCACTTCTCCCAAGCTGCTTCAAAGAGCCCTCAGGCATTTTCCACATTTTTCACCCAAATGCCTGTTGCAGAGGTGGTACCTTGCTGCAGACAGAGCATTTGGTGTGCCCTGGGTTGTTTACGTGAAAGTTCAAAAGGTTTTGGTGCCAGGTGTTGAGAAGAGATGGAGTCATTTCATTTTAGCACCAATGGTAAAACTATTTTACTATTCTTTAACTAAGTCTTTGATTTTACACAGTGTAGTTTTATAATTGTTATGAAGTTTAATCCTTGATTTCTTGTATAAATTTTGAGAACATGGTCTCCAGACAGCTAAACATAATATTTAAACATAACTAAACTAACTTCTGTAAATATTTCCCTTTTCGGTGATGAATGTATATTGGTAAGGAGGGTGAGGTTGAAGGGGCAGAGACCTCTCAAATGAAGTGACTTTCTTTACCAACATGTTCAGAACACCTACCCTAGGATTTCTGCTTGGTGATGTTTTACTTATTTTGTATAACTCTGGCATGTTTGAAATGTCTGCCATGAAAGTATGTGGGAACAGGATGAGGAAACAGGGCCTCCAAAATCTCAGAAAGAGATCACTTTTTAATGTCTCTGCTCTCCTCTCAACCCCTCTCCCCAATTATTTACAGAATTTCATGTATATGTGTAGCAGTGTATCATGATTGTTTCCTGTTAGTGGTCAGTTAGTGGTATGGTCTTTATTTTTAAATTGGACAACTAAGTTAACAGTAGAGGAAAAAAATTAATAAAGTGATTGAAATGTCAGTATAGTAAGAAATTAATAAAGTGATGGAAATGGCAGCTGCTTAAAAGCTTATTAAAAATGATGGCTCTTGCCCTTCACCTCACAAGCAAGCCCTCATTCTTAGGTGTTCCATCTTTAGGTGATCTGTCAGCATTGAGGTGAGAGGTATGCCTTCATATTCTGCATTCTAGCTTGTGATCTCTCTTAAACAGCCATCCTTCAGAGGAGGGCAAATGATATTCTAGCTTTGAGGATCTGAACATTTAATAAAAGGAAAACAACTCTACAGTTCTAGTGACAACCCATTTAATGGAAACAAGTAGTTCTCATTGTATAATATTTTTTAAAAAATGGATTGTATTTTTGCATGATATTAAACATGTCTTAATATCTTCACGTGAATGATTTACATGGTATTGGAAATAATGTTAGCCTCACCTAATCTGGAGGGTTTTTGAAGTAAACTCTTAAGGTTTTGTGAAGGTGATGGAGGAATTCCAGGAGAACATCAATGATAGAACTATTTTAAATATGCTGCACTTTTTTACACTGACTCACCGAGACATGCATGTAATCTTATCCTGTAGCTTCTTGAATCTGAGAGTATTAAATGTCACTGTGCATGTTACTCAAGGAGTGATAAATGAAAGGGAGAGTTTGGTAGGTGACTTTAAGAAAGAACAGTGATCATGTCTTCTGTATCTTTGTGCTCTCATGATTCTTAATGTGATAATGCTCTGTAAGTTTGTTGAAAATGTTCTGCCGTGTACACATTGTAAGTTCACTCAAAGACTACTTTTTAAGGGTTAATTTGGACATCTATTAAATAACTGTTTATAGGTTTGAATTTAGTTATTTGTCTCCCCTACCTTGGCAAACCCCCCTCTTTTGAGGTATTAATTGAACGTTTGTGGCAGATGCCTGTACTATAATCAAATGAAAAACAGAAAATAAAAAGTTATAAGCCAGCCTTAAGGGGAAATACACTTTCTAGGATTTTCTTTAGAACATAAACTCCCAGAAGGCAAGGAATATTATATTTGTGCTGCATTCTGTATAGTAATTAGAACATAGTGAATGATCCTGTAATGAAGTCAACTTTAAAAAAAATTGTGTTGTGAAGTCATCTAGTCAACTCTTGTTTCCAGGTAGCCTGAACTGTATAGCCATTATAAATGGATGGCATTACTCAAGATGCTTTCCAGAATTCCTTTATGAGGACTCTTGTTATGTTATTGTCTGCTACTTATGGTTTTGTACCTCTTCTTTCAGTCATTAGATTCCAAAATATACTGAGATTCCTGTGGTTAGCTTTATTGTATTACTGTGGTAAATGAATTGAGCAAAAGAGGCTCATACTTCCTTGTTGTGGCCAATCTTTCTAACTTCAGTTGAGCAAAGGGCCCAAATAAGTGTTCTTTCAGTTCTCAAAGGACTATATCCAGGTCTGTTTAATTATTTGCATTATATTCCATAGTATTGAATGTAACATACTTTATTTTACCATTTCCCTATTAATGTATATTAATTTCTATGCATATTTACACATTTATTTCTGTAGAATAGATTTCTGAAAGTGGATGTCTGGGTCAAAAAATACATATTTTTAAATTTTATGAATTCAGGTTTATTGAGGTGTAATTTACATTATAGTATAAATAAATTTGGACAGGTTAATATATTATAGAGTCATATAGCTGTCATCACCATCAGATATAGAACATTTCCGTTACCCTAAAAATTCTTTTGTCTCCCTTGGCAGTCACTCTCCTTTCTCAACCTTAGCTGTGTCTGATCTGATATTTGTCCCTAAATGTCATGTCAATGGAAAAATAAAGTAGTTGTGTGTGTTTGATTGTTTTCACTTAGCATGATGTTTTTGAGATTCATTCATCTTTTTGCATATATTAGCAGTTCATTTCTTTCTGTTGCTGAGTAATATTTCATGTTAAGAATATCCTACAATTTATTTATCCATGCATCTGTTGATGGACATTTGGTTTATTTCTAGCTTTTGGTGATTGTGAATAAAGCCACTGTAGACATTTACTCTCAGATCTTTGTGTTGACATATGTTTTCATTTCTCTTAGGTAGGTACCTAGGAGTGGGATTGCTTGATTTTATGGTGCCTGTTTATAAGAAACTGTCAGACTGTTTTCCAAAGTGGCTGTACCATCTGGCCTTCCACCAACAGTGTGTATGAGTTCTAGATACTCCATATCCTTGCCAATAATTAGCATTGTCTGTCTTTTAAATTTTAGCTATTTTAGTGAGTACGTAGTAGTAGTATCTTTTGGTTTTAATTTGCAGTTTACCTTATGACTAGTGATATTGAGTATCTCTTCTTTGCTTATTTGCTATCTATATATCTTCTTTGGTGAAGTGTCTGTTCAAACCTTTTGCCCATTTAAAAAAAATAATGACTTTTGTTTTCTTACTATTGAGTTTTGAGAGTTCTGTATATATTTTGGGCTACAAGTGCTTTATCTGACATGCCATTTGCAAATACATTTTTCCTGTGTGACTTGTCCTTTTATTTTTTAACAGCTTTTTTCAAAGAGCAGAAACTTTTAAATTTGATGAAGTCCAGTTTTGCTTTTATGGTTTGCATTTAAAATTATAATGCATTCTGCCAGATAATTTT